AAACGTTGTGTTCTCTTTCTTCTTTTTTTCAGCATGGAATAAACCTATTACTTGTTCCTTTGCAGCCTACGCATGCTGACGCAGCTACCCACCTGAACTATTATTCTATAGGTTTGTAACAGGTGAATTCTTCTAAAATTAGTAAACGGACGGGTAACTATAAACCTCCTCAGAGCCAGGTTAGATGTACTGTAACGGAGTTGTTCAGTTAATCGAATAATTAGACCAGCTGTGTAACCGGGAACATGGACCGAGCAAAGAAACCTGCAATTCCATTTCACTTTGTTGTCATTCCCTATTTATCCACTGGGTGGAGCTGACAGAAGCTTTTATACAGTTGCACCTGGATGAGTTACTGCACTACAGCGGTTTCCAGGACTTCATAATCCCAGCCTCTAAACTGTGTGCGTGTGCGCGTGTTCACAGGTTATGAAATCAGTGCACAGATTAAACTGAACTGCACACAAAAAAAAATAATAATAAAACAAACACGGTCGTCAACTGAAAAGTGCGAAATTGACCACATGCATGAGACCGGCTGCGACTTGGCTGTGTGCATTATTATTGCTACTTGATGATCGATATCTATGGTCTTGTACCTCACTGCTCCTGCTCGCTCGACACTCAGTCACCACGACTGGACCCGTGGAGTCACTGTCCTAGTCTTTTGGATTTCTGTGCTTCACAACAAACAGCCTTTTCCTTTTCCGCTTTGCACAGTGCATCGTTGAACGTTGATATCGTAGAATCGTAGACTAATTGTTTTCAAATTTGTATTACTCACTTAAAAGTTTATTTTATTAAAAAAATTAAAATATTGATTCACTATGTCGAAAGACGTAAAGGGCATGAAGCGCAAAAGAACTGCCAGTTCATTTAAAGTGGAATGGCTTTGATAAATGGTAGAAACTGCTACTCTGAAAAGTCATGATTTGTTATATGTTCCGTTACAAGAAATATTAACCAAAATAATTTCAGGTTTACATTTACTCCATTTAGTGCACACAAGTTTTTGTCACTCGGAAAAATGCACAACTTGAAAGTTTTGCACACATTAGAAATTAAAGGGAACATTGATCCCAGTGTGTGTATTTTAACTAAAAATCCTTTATCTCGGCCTATTTTCCTTTTGTGAAACGGTCAAGAGATGGTATTTCACCAACACAAATTCAGAAGGAGCTGGAAAATGTTATCTTTATTTTGGAGCAGAAACAATAGGTCAAAATAATTGTTTCAATTAATATGTCCGACTCCGACTTGAATCTTCGCTGGAAACACATGAACAAGGACTGGGAAGACCCAAGACAAACTTGCTGTAGTGCTGTGTGGCTACTCAGATGATGGACAGTGTTGATAAAAGTGTAACTTGCTCTCTGATGAGTATGGTTTACCAAGGTGGTTCAAGTAGGGAGCTGCATTAGCATGTGTATACTGCAAAGGAACAAGTAAAGGTTTATTCCTTGATGAAAAGAGGAGCCTACTTCTGGTGAAGACTCCACAGCTGAAATGTTGTTGTTTCTTTTCTTCTCTTTTCAGCATGTAATTGCCACCCCCCACACTCTCCCTCACAAACACCGTTCCATTCCCAAAACCACTGTTTCACAATCTCATTCCTAATTTAACCCATCACATTCCCACATGCACTAGATTCCACAAATTCTCACTCCCGAATCAATTATCCAACCACATCCCTTTCCTTTCAGTATTTAAATTTCCCTCACACACCTTCCCATGCTCACTATTGAGAAGCCTCTAGTAGAATTCTCCTGTCTTTTCACCATGGCTTTTGCATTTCTCTCATTACTGTATTCTTTGCTTCCTTAATCAACTAAGCCCCATGGATTTTGTCTTTTGGATTGTCCCTGTGCTACTCTGTTCTGTGGGATTCATGGTTATGCATATAGATCCTCTTTTTTCCCTTTTCTCTCCTTTCACAGCAACACAAACTTAACATTCAGGCCTGTTTGTGCAGAGAGTGTAGAGAACTGTAGCACCAACAGGATGCCAGAGATAGAATCACAGGGAACCTGCTTCTGCCCATTACAGGGCAATCTGTGGAACAGCGACACAGCAGGTCAATTAAGCTTCAGCCAGTCATGCCAGATTACTGACTGGCATGATTTCTGAACAAAACTCTTTAAAGTCTTCAAGAATGGGAGAGGGTAGATGAGCCTCCTTGGACTTGGATCTAGCTTTTTGACAGAAACCAGGTTGTTGGATTGAACAGCAAGCATAGGTATCAGTTTAGCTACTCTCACCACACTCTGGGGAAGGAATTGTGTCCTGTTCTTGATTCTCTTTTTCTTGCAGGTTTAACAGCACATGGATTGAAGAGGAGAATTTTGACCAGACAAAGTTCAAGACTCCGGTGGGGATTTTTTTTTATCACTATGTGACATTTATATTTTACTCAAAAAAGATATTGACTAAACCTGCGTGGCTGAGGGCCAACCTCTGACCACAGGACAGGGAGGCCAGGACCCCCATGCAGGGTAACCAAGGGGTAGCAGCAGAGGTGGTGGTGGGATGCAAAAGTCGAATGTGTGGGAGAGTATGAAATCACGTTGGTACTTGTAGCATTTGGTGGAGGAAGGATGATGGGACCGATTGCTAATTACTGACAGCTGAGTACGATTGAGCTTGGTTGTTGTCATCCCTCAACAACTTTCGTTATAAACTCCATTTTGTGATTCCCTGTTCATTCTGAAAGAAACTGGGTTGTTTTTGTTGAAGCCTTTAAGGATTCTGGATGTCAGGTTCTTGTAGTCTTCTCTTCAACACTACAGAGTTCAAGGAATGATAGTGAACTGTTAGATTCTCAGTGAGACTGAAACCTGCTTCACCTTAAGCAATTGCAATTGAGGCTGTGCTTTTGGCCACTACACTACAGTTTTGAGTATTGGTGCCATAATGATTCACTCTGAATCTTACACTCTACAAACTATGACTTGGATATAAGGCTAAACAGCTCAAATCAGCTTTTAAAACTGATGAGGATAAGGATAAATGCTTGTGAAAGACATCATACAATCTCCTATAAAACTGCAATTACTAAATCTTTATCACTTCAAGACCACAAATGCTTGACCTTATATAACATGTTTGGTTCAGAACCTGCAAAAACACCAAATAATTACCCAAGAAAAGCCTCTGGCTCATTTCCAAAAAAATAGAGAGACCTAATTTTTCAGTTTTTTTTTGTCTCAGTGAAAATACAAACAACACATTTCATTTTAATCATGCATGATTTACTAATGAGCACCAATAGGGGCTCTTCAGGAGTTTTTATAGACTTAGAAAAATGTTAAGAGGCAGCAGGAAAAGGTAACATGACACCCATGCTTCAGGTACGTAGTATCCTGTAGAAAGAAAGAAAACAGATACCAATTAACACACAAGGAAAAGATAGTAAAAGTATTTTGTTAAAAGAACCCTCTCCGAGATATTGAAAACAAAACCAGAGGCTTGCAACAAGTCCAATAATAATAACAGTAGAGGCAAAAACTTAGTAATAAAAAATTACTATAGTGCTGAAAATTACCATCACATGGGCTGAATGTGTTGAAAGGCCTCCTTTGGTTTGTAAACCTTCCTGTGTAAATGATTGGTCATGAACCCACTGGGTGTGTGCCCTGTCTTGAATGTTACTGTAGCTGCTAGTTCACCTGTTGTGGTATTAAATAGCACAAAGGCTGGGTGCAGAAGATGCTGCCTGGTCAGCCATGGCAAGGACTGCAGAGAAGTAATATCTAAGCCAACATCATCACTACAGAACCGTGGAACAAAAGGAAAGGGGCTTTTCACACAGCTGCTATACCAATATCTTCTGACTTTGCAAGAGAGGAATATGACCCCAATCTATCAGATCCACTTCAAGTGTTCTGTAGCTACTGAACACATGAGCTGGAAAGAGGCACTGCACTGTGAAACTGTTTACTTCTGCATTTTAACATTACAACCAACACAATTAATACTGTATTGTATAGAACACATTTAGAATATAAACTAAACCCTCCTTATAACACTGTAATACGATGATCAAGTCCTCCAGTGTACTATAAAAATTAGACAGGAAAGCATCTCTTACCATTATTGGTTACAGTTACAGTCCTTGTTATTGATTGGTTAAGCACTGGGTTGGCCAGTTGGAAGGTGTAACTCAGATTGGCCATTCGCTCCACTGTCAGATGGCTGTTCAGGGCCAGAAGACCTCCTCCGCGATTCCATTGGCTGGTTTGGCTGTGCTTTGTGATGTCACTTCCTGTGTGGTTCAGCCAATGCACCTTGGCTTCAGGGTACCCTTGGGAGCGGTACGTCAGGACAATGTAGTTCCAACTACTGGAGATGGTAATTGTAAGCAGAGGGTCCTCGTAGGCCACTGTTGGGGACAAAAACAGCTCTTGGCCAACAGCCTGGTGCAGTTCCTCTTCTATCTCAACGTACCCAGGTCAAAAAACAGTAACTGACTCAATGTGCCCCATGAATCCTGCCACTATAACAATATACCATTGGCTAAGATACACTACAGTCAAAACACATTGGAGTGTAAAACTGAAGAGTTCTGAGTTCAGTTTATTTGTCATATGCACAAGCGCAATTAACTGATATTATCAGCAGCCATATCATCCTGCAGTTCAGAAGTGGCAGCCCATTGAAGCTCAGCAGGTGTGAGCCTGGTGAGTACCTGGATGGGAGACTCCTGGGAAAAACTGATTACTGCTGGAAGAGGCATTAGTGGGGTCAGCAGGGGGTGCTCACCCTGCGGTCTGTGTGGGTCCTAATACCCCGGTATAATGAAGGGGACACTACACTTTAAAAAAGGCACCGTCCTTCTGATAAGATATAAAATTGAGATCCTGACTCTCTATAGTCATTAAAAATCCCCCAGGGCGTTTCTCAAAAAGAGTAGGAATGTTACCTCGGCATCCTGGCCACATTTCCCATTGGCATTTACCAATCATGGCCTCCTAACAATCCCCATCTATCAACTGGCTTCATCACTCTTTTCTCCTCCCCACTGACAGCTGGT